GCTAGGAATGACCCTCCCCTTAGACAAAAACTTTGAGCTGTCCTTGTGAGCAATGGGCAGTGGCATTGGCCTTTGGTCTTCTCTGTTTACATTTCCGAGCATGGAACCTGTACCCTGTACGTGCACTGCACCCAATTGCTCTTGGTCTACCCAAACTGGGGTAGACTCTACCCCATGAATGAGAGCAGGGTGGTAAAGGAAGCCCCTGACTTCTCAGCTGTACTCACTGGGGATTTAACCTCTACAAACTTAGAGGAGACTGGAAAGGCTGGTCTTCTCTTGAGAGACCCTATCTGTGGGACTGGGAGCTAAGTAAAGCAGGTGTCATTCTCCTGAGTGTGCTCGTACAGAAGGTGTCTGTGGAGAGGACTCTGTTATGAAGGAAGGTGGGAGCCAGACATCACCAACCAGCCACACCCTTCTAATCGCACCAGTTTAGAAATGTTTTAAATAAGTATCTCTTCATACATTGTGTGGTCTTAGGACTGTTTGTAGAACCTTCCAGTGGTTTATTGGAGTTTGCTCTGTTTTCTTGTTACCACCCTAGTTTTGAGCAATTATACTTGTTTTTGGGAGTGGACCCCCTAGAAATATGTTTTCAGAAGACTGTGCCAAAGGAAAGACCCTGGATCCATCACAGAGTTTGAACTTCAATGTCCTTCTCATAAATGACAGGAATTCACACACCAGTCAGGCCACAGTGGCCGAGTCCACCCTCTTCTCCCTTTTTACCTCTCACTCTGAAAGATTACAGCGATCCTAGCTGAATAAAGGTCCCTGCCCAGTAATGTGTTGTAAGAATTTCAAAACTCCAGGAAAGTATTTTAAGTAAAACGAAGAATATATTTAGACACTATAAAAATGTGGTCTTCAGGCCTAAATCAGGATTCTTTAGAAGTTTGACTCATGAGAAAAACACTTAAACAAAATCAGAAACCAGCGTGACTCAGGATCTCTGTCTCTCCTCTCTCCCTTTCCTGTCTCACCAGCTCCCAATTCACTTCCACCCTACATTTTATAACATATGAGAATTATTAAACAGAAATCAAAGAACTGAATGATTAAAATCATAGAATTTAGGAAGTCTATATAATAATGTTAAAACGGGTAATAACCAATAATCTCTCTAAGTTGTTTTTATACACTAGTCTCAGCCATGGAATGATTTCCCCTTTTCATTTATTAAAGAAACCAAAAGCCATTTGGTTTCATATCATTCATTCACTCATTCATGCATTCACTTAATGAGCATAACTTAATACCTAGTAACTGAATAGTAGTTTTTCTAGGCACTTGACCACTGGTTTGGATTTTAAAACATGAGATAGGATTTAAAGAGCGAGCCAGTCAGCACACATATGCCTTGCCAAACAAAAATATATCCTTGTTATTTTTATTCAGCTTTCACAGAGCTTATTTACCTTCTTATGAAATGGCCAGGAAGAGCACTGTGAATGGGATCCCAGGAAACCATAAGTAAGACTGACTTTTGACTTCGCGTGGTTGCAGCTTTAGACCTAGTCGTTCACAAGCAGTGTCTTATTTTCACTGTTTCATGCAGGGCATGCTGCATAATTACAGTCTTCTGACGTCGATGCATGCAATGCTCTTACCTCTTGGCTATTCTTTAAAGATCAAGAAGCAAAGGGGGATAGATGACAAACAAGTACAATGCGATCCACCCAGGCATGCTTGTTCAGCGGGGAGAATAAAGTTGCTGAAAAAAATCCCAACCTAAAAATTCCACTTAAAAACTAAAATGTCTTCTTGTTTTGTGTGAGAATTTCATCCATGCATACATTGCCTTTGAATAAAATCCACCCACCTCTTCCTCCCCTCTGCCCCACCCTTCCCCCATCACTATTTCTTCCCAAGTTCATGTGCTCTTTTTTTTTTTTTTTAACCCACTTTTGGAACTCTCCTTAGTGTGCACGAGTGTAAGACAATCTGCTGGGGCATGGAGAGCCTCCCAGGGGCCCCCTTCTTGAAGCTAACTGACTCTTCCTCTCCTAGTAGCCATCAGTTGTCAAAAGCTCTGTAGCAGGTGGGAGGACTTCATGGATCCTCCCCATCCAGGCTAGGATTTGGGTGGGCTTGATCTTGTACAGGTCTTGTGCATCCAGTCGCAGTCACTGTGAGTTCATGTGCACAGTGGGCCTGTCATGTCCAGGAAACAATTTGGCTATGGGTATCTCCTACCTCTGGCTCTTTCATTCTTCCATTTCCCTCTTTGGTAAGCCAAAACACCCCCTTTTCATAAAGAAATCAAATACTTAGAGTAGAGTTTAGAAGAAGTTAACCACCCAATAAAACAAAACAATACAATTAAAAATTTAAATTTGAAAATAGAAGGACTTTTTGTAGACTGTGAGATTATAGCATGTTGACTATCAAGCTCAAACCAGATGCATAAGGTGTTCAGTATTAGGAAAGCATGTTCCCTGCTTTCAAGAAACAAGCTTTAGACATAAATAATGATCATGTAAGTTAGAAAATATTTGTTATAATAGAAGGTAATTAGGCCACTTAAGAGAGAGAAGAAAGAATTTTTTTTTCCTGTTGGGGAGGATTAGAAGAGGTTTCATGAGGGAAATAGCAGAGTTGTGGGGTTGAAATAAAACCCACCCAAGCTCATTTGAGCCTTCCTTCAGAGACCGGCCAGAAATTCCCCTGGTTAAAAACTGTAAAAAGGGTGTTGAGGAAGGGTCAATAAGGCTAGATGAAATCCCCAAAATTTCGTCAAGAGTTGAGAGTTCATTTTTAACCCAATGGGAAACCAGAGCAGGGTTTTGAGACAAGAGTTAGTTATCAAAGTTGTGTCTTAGATTATTCTGACACTGTATAAATTAGATTTTTTTTTAAATACTATGCGTGGGAGGGTAAAAAAAAAAGCGCTCGGTGGAGAAAGGAACTTGCTGTCACACCTGATTAGTTTTGATTCTAGGGACTCACAGGGTGAAAACAGAGAACCAACTCATGCAGGTTGTTTTTCTCTGACTTTTGTATGTGTGCGCTATGGTCTACACACACACACACACACACACACACACACACACACACACACACACACACACATTTTTAATGATTAAAAATATAGCAGAGATTGAAGACCAATACAGTGGCCATTGTTATATTGGACCAGGTGCCAGGAAACAAAGAAGGAAAAAAAATCAAAGGAAATGGCAGTTCCATAAGCATCCAGCAGTAGAGGGGGAAGGATGGTGAGGGCTTCAAGATTGGTGTCAGCAGTGGAAGAAGGATGCATGCTGTTTTGAGAATAACTGCCTCTATGCCAAGGAGATTGGCAGTGCCCTGACACTGAGAAAAGAAACAGAGAAAGATGACTTAAGGAAGAGAGGGGGTTTCATTTACACAGTAAATATTTATTGGGCACGTACTGTGTGCCAGGCACTGTTCAGGGCAGGGTGAGGTGGGTAGTGTGAGAGTTATCTTTAATTTTTAAAGTACTTGATGTGGAAGAGGCTCTGTTCCCAATCTGTGTGACTCTAAAGTCAGAGCTGGAGCCAGCGAGTGGGAGTTAGGTAGGAAGTAAAAGAGCTTTCTAATGAACGGTGGCTTTGGCTGGGTAGTGAGAGCCCTGTCATAGGCAGCATTCAAGCGGAAGATGGTGGCCTTCCAGGAACACTGGGGCAAACATCTGTCCTTGGGACAGGGGCTAGACTAGCCTTCCTGACAGTTTTCTTCTAGCCCCATGAGTCTCTTCTTGGATGAGGTAGTTCCACGGGTTCTATTATTAATCTGTGGTTTCTCTCAATTATTAAATAAATTACTCAGTCTGTCTGCCATTCAGTAAAACTCACACATTTACATCTGTTATTCTTGAATTATTTTTGGTTAGGGCTCTTCTTCTTTATTAAAAAAAAAAATTCTCCCCAGTTAATGTTACCTTTATAGATATTTTAGAATGGGATGCCTGATAGATAGGGTTATAAATACCAGAGGGGGAAAGACATTTCTTGTGGCTAATAATGTTGTTATTTAGAAATGAATTATCTTGACTTGCAGATTATGATGCAGTTTCTATATGTTGCACTAATTCAAAAAATTAAATTAAAAAAAAAAAACCAGAGAGGTTCACTTTGCTACGGCATGGTAAAGAAAAAGAATAATTACACTGTGAGGCTTTCCATCAGAAACACTTCCCTCTGGTGCATTTTAAAAGGGAGAAAGGCGAGGAAGGAAGGGGGAAAGGGAACCTGTAGTGAGCCTTGTTGTGAGCTGTAGTTCAAGCTTCGCGTTTCCTGGTGTCTTTTGAAACGTAAAAATCCCACAACAAATAGCTCGGTAATGTATAACCGGACCAAGATTCGATTCCGATTTAAGCACTTTGGTTTGCTTTTGAGTCTTGCTATTTTCTGCATTTGTTTTGACTGCTCTCATCATTCAAGATTGACGCTTGGATGGGTGTGTAGGAGGGAACAGCAGCAGCAGGCTTACAGCTTGCAGACAAAAAAAAAATCTGCCTTATCTGATGGCTATTATTGAAAATGCGAGGTGTAGCCTGGGCTGGGTAATGAAGGGGAGCGAGCGAGGGGGAGCAAGGAGCATGGAGCTGCATACTGATGAGTGTAGGAGTACTTGATAAAAAGAATTCTGGCTGCTGGCCGTGCATTGCTCATTGTGGAGTACTCCAACAATCACAGTGAACGCGGAGCAGCCTAAGCTGACAGCTTGATGTGCCTTCTTCTCCTGCCTGGTTTTGGGGGCTGTATGACGCACTGGTCGGTAGTAAAGATTAATATGTAAGAAATGTGGAGCTAGGATCAAGTCATACTCCACAGCCTGCCTGGCAAACTATGTGTTACTTCTGACTTTGCTCTCTCGCTGAGAACATTAATCTGTCAAGCTGGCGGGCTCCTTCGATAACAACTTTCCCAGAAGCATGATGTGGCAATGCCACCTCTCAGCCCAGGACTACCGCTATTACCCCGTGGACGGCTACTCCCTGCTAAAACGCTTCCCTCTTCACCCTCTTACAGGACCCAGATGCCCTCTCCAAACAGTGGGACAATGGTTGGAAAGCATTGGGCTACCTCAGTACGAGAACCACCTGATGGCTAATGGATTTGACAATGTACAGTTTATGGTAAGATGCTCTCTGTGTCCACGGAGCTGCCTTTTGTCTGTCTTTGCTTCTTATGTGTCTTACATGGCTCAGAGGCAGCCTGATTTGCACGGAAATGGATCAGCTTTATATATGTAGCTGCATCAGAAAATCGAATGCCTTGAGAACAGAACTTGCTGTGTGCATGTAGACACCAACTAGAAAAATGGGATCTCTATGCATCCTTTAGACATGTGTGTTGTATGAATTGGTGAGAGCTCTATTTATAGGCTCTGAATGAAGATTAACATTTATATTCTCCCTGTCATTCTTTGTGTGGTTTTTTTCCCCCTATAAATTTGTGATCTTAGCATACCATTTTATTATACCATGCTTCAGCTAATCCTAGATTCTGGAGACGTGTTATTTCACTTTAACATCAGCATTATGATTAATTAGACAGTCCGCTATGTTGTCGGTATGAAGATCATTTTCCCTGCTAATCATTCAATAAGCAGTTTAAATCCTGTGGACAGCCCTTCATTAGCTAGCCGCTTCAGCCGGTCCATTAGCAAAAGCGTGGTCTTCCTTCCACATGCTGCCTGAAGAGAGATGAAGTATTGTTTGTTACTTTAGGTGAAAAACAAACAACTTGGCTCAATTTGCTGTCAGTGAATAGAAAGGGGCTGGTGTACCAAATACATGGACGCACTTCCGAGTCCTGGTCTATGGGCAATCTAAACCAGGCATGTGCAAACTTCTCACTGTGCATATAGGTGAGGAGGAGGAGGAGGAGGAGGAGGAGGAGGAGGAGGAGGAGGAGAAGGACGGGAGGAGTGCAGACGACAGTCTAGTTTTCTAATCATTGAGACCTCCCCCCATGCCCATCAGCTCCTCTTGTTAAGCTCCTTTAAGCTACGTCACAGCCCTTCTCACCTTTCCCTGCTTTAAAGGACCCACCACACATGTCACTGGTCCCTAAATTTAGGGAGACCTCCATGTCATAAGCATGTAGCTCACAAACAGCTTGTAGAAATACTTAATGGGTCCTCTGAAATAAAATGCTGGGGTTGACACCCACAGCTTAGTCATAAAACACTGAGGACTAGTCAGATCTTTTCAGTTCCTTGTTCAAGATTGTTTCTCTCCAAACTTGACAGAATTATTATAGATGTGAAGGTTATTAAGATTGCTAAACTTCTACTCCTACAAAAATGTGTATGCCTACAAGCTTTTTAAAAATGCATGAAAGTGCCCATCCTATGAGCTTTAAGTACTATATACATAAAACCCTTCATGGGTATAGTGTTACTTGTTAATAATGAGCTAAGCATTTATTTTTCTTGTGTCCATCAGACAGTCGCTGGTTTTATAGCCGAGACGCTGTGGGTGTTGAAATAGGCTGGAAGTGGAAGTTGTCACAGTCTGAGCAGAGTTAAGACTTACTTGGGGCAATAAACAGATGCTGTTAATACTTAGAGGAACTGTCAAACAAAATGAATATAATTTCAGCATTATTTGTCTTGACTGCATATCCCTACATCGCTACTTCCTCCTGTCTCTACCTGAAATGGGGTATCTCATTCCCAAGCCCCTGTCCAAATTTATTCTGGCCGGTGAGAAGTTGGACTTTTGATTTCCTGAATTAATTGGCCACACTGAAGGACTTTAATTCAGCTTAATTTTCCTCTGAATATTAAACACTTATGAGTGAATATAATCCCCCCTTGAAAGTATTTAACTAGAAGGTAATCACACAGGTTTTAAAGAATTTGAGGAGAGAGTGTGAAGAACAGTCATGTGTGAATTGTGCACAAAATGCATCCAAAAGGTAAAATCCCAAGCACCGTGAAAGATCCAAGTCCAATCATAGGTGGTGGTTTTACCTGTTTAGTCCCAAGTATCATATGTAATCTTCTAGAAAATAAAAGCACCTGGTTAGTTCAGACAAGCCAAAGACTTACATCATGAGACAGAATTTTAAAAGAAAACAGTTTTTATTTGCCATGTAGAAGGACTAAATAATTGTGAAAATATAGCATATCTTGAATTTGTGTCATCAATTAGTGCATTACATACTATCATATACCATTTGTTTGCTACCAACATTGTAAGAAAAGAATGTCTACCTTTATGATAATTATTCATTGATTGCCATAGTCTGCTTAATGCTGGACTTAAGGCACACTGCGATTGGCCCACTTTAAGAAACAAATTTCATTAATGTAAAAATCTGTTAGACCTGCTCAGTTTCTATTCGGTTTCATATTCTAGCCTTTGTTTTCCTTGTAGCACATTCTGACCTGCATTTATTCATCCTGTTGCCTAAGCAACAAGCACCACGCTCCCATTAACTGTGATGTAGTGTAGGTCTTATTAGCTTTTTGGAAGAAGACAGAAGACATCAAGAGGATATAATTAATGTTGGCTAAGTGTCGCAGTCCATCTCTATGCATGTGCTTTGTTGTGGAAACATTCTCCGGAGCTAATATTTCATTTAATTGCTAGTCCATTGATGAATGAAGTTTAAAGTTTTCTTATAAATAACTTTTGAAGAAAGTATTTATTGAGATCTTGGTGTTGCTTTTTTGTTTGTTTTGGGGTTGGGTTTTTTGGGTTTTTTGCTAAATTTGTTCTATATACTCTTAAGCATGAATACAATGTGTGGTTGATTTTATCTTATGGCAACCATTAACTTTAGTAAAGATTGCTTGATAATGATGTGGTTAGAAAAGAAGGAAGCTCCTCCCTACACACTTTTAGCTGTTTATCAGCTGCTGTCACTTATCCTTCAGGCTCTTAATACTTACCCTTGATTTTTACAGATGCAAGAATTATTTTCCATATCTTTAAGATAAAATTATAAACTTTTGTTCTGTGCCTGCCTCCTGGCTTGTAGAACATTGTGAACACACATTAGATCCAAAGTGCCTTTAAGAATACAAAAGAAATAGAAATTTGTACAATTCAAGAAGAGCTACAGCAGGACCTGTAGCCAGCTAAGACTTTGGGAAAGTCATGTGTGTTTTGACGTCAGAAACCCTCTCACAAGTCATGTGTCTGAAGTCTTCCCTAGTCCCGCCTTGCCCGTTCTTCTAAAGACATACATCACATCTGTCTGCTTTCTGCAAAAAAAAAAAAAAAAACAGAATCCACCTTCTTCTCAACAGCCCTGGGAATGCCGTGGGGGTCCTCTGAACCTTAGGGATTTCTTCAGCCTTTGCAATGTATGTCAACATGACTAAGTTTTCGTGCTGCTTCTTTTCCCAACAAGGAGTTTTGTGTTGTGTTATACAGAATGATTTTGCCTGTGGTTTTTCTTACCGCATTTATTGCTACGACCATCTTTCTTTTTCTAAGTTAGACAACTGCTTCCTAAGTTGTCAAAGTCACAAATCCTCTATTCCTTTTCCTATGACTTTGCTCCTTCATGGCCTCTCCCTGAGCCTTAGGTAACTGTCATTTCCTCTCTTTTCCCTATATTTTTTATTCCCGAAGGTCTCCCTGCACTGTTTACATAGCTTTCCTTAAGGACGATGGTCCATAGTAGTGTGTCTTCTCTGAACTCCCATAGTGGCTATATTTTGTGGCCACCATTCCATCTCTGAAGTTAGAAATTAAGTTTCTACTTATGTATACCTCATCTTAGTTTCCACTTAATGTATACCTCATCTTCCCACCTAGAAATCACCAAGTCTGTGTTGTGTGTTGATTTCCTTGCTTTTCTCACAGCTCCTAATGCAATGTCATATACGTAGAAATCCACCAGCAAGCATCATATACATAACCAGTTGACATGACTGGACCTCCAGTTTTTTTTTATAAACTAAAAGTTATTTTTTGCCCATGAGAATATAGAGCACCAGTCATCCCATTCAGTCCTCTCTATATACTTTCCACATGCTAGAAAGTGTTAATTACTAGACACTTAACGATGAACAAAACATGATCCTTGCCTCCGTTGGGGTATACTGTTGTCCTGAGTATTTCCTTGCAAACCCCACAAACGTTCCTTCCTTCACATAGTCCATAGTATGGGAATCTTGCCCCTCATGTGTCCATACAGTCAGCATCCCTCGGCAACTTTTTCCTACATTAAGTTATAGTACATAATGGAAAGTGTAAAACATCTGTTGGAGCACAAAGTCAAGGGAAATGGAGATAGTGGTAACATCAAGTGGTAACATTAGCAGTACTACAGCAGATTTATGGTGTAAAGACCGGATTACAAAGCTTGTGTCCCTTGGAGGAGGACTGACTCACAGCCTCCCTACACTCACTAGCCAACAGTTCCAGTCACAAATTCTAAAGGGGAAAAGGATGAAATTATATACCATGTCATCCTCTTAGTGTCTCCTGTTGACCTATCGCCTTGGGATGGTTTGGCCATTTTAAAGTGTTCAGGATGAAGTCTCTATGGGGTCAACTATAAAAGTAATACTGGAAGCCCCACACAAATTGGAATTTTTGTGAACTTGAGTGGATAGCCTTCATAAAGGCTTCCTGGAGGTCAGAGTGAGCAGTGCCCATTAGACACTGAAGGAGACCCACAGAGCCCTTGAAAGGTGATCGATTTGAATAAAACATTCAAGCAAGAGAAAGCTGATAAGTACATATTTAACTGAAACTTTTCTCCCAAGTTTGTGGTGCATATTGCATGCTAATGGACCTACAGATCTCTCATACTTTACAGAACTTCACTGAAGTAAGAGTGCTGTTTGCATTGGTCTGGCGAAACGACCTTTTAAGTCTTAGCAAACCGCTATGCACGTAACATGTTAAACCTGTGAAGTAGGAAAGTAAATTGCCCCTGATGTTTCTTACTTAACTATTTCTCAGGCAAACTTATGAAGTTTCTGCAATTTAAAGGAAATATAAGAGAAAAATGCCCATTTCTCCCACCGTCCTGTTTCTGAAGCAGCCTTGAGTTGAGTGGGTAGCCTTACATTGCAAAAGCAGCTATGATTTTCCAAACTTACTGAGGACAGTAGCGGTCAACTTGTTCTTACAAAAGATTTTGTTTTCAACCACGAGCATTTAAA